ACCGTCACGAGAAACGTCCGCGCGAGTTCGCAGTAAGTCCTTTTCTCTTTCTTGGAATACTCGCTTCGTTTATCACTTTTCGGCAATATGACTTGACGATAAAGAATGTTGTTCGTTTTCTTATTTGGGTTTCTCTTTTTATCGTAGGTTGATAGCGAATTATGTCTGTATCTTAAAAGCTTTCGTCTAATACAGCGCTCGGAATTAGTTGCACATTTCGGGCCGATTCTGGAGACGACGCCTCCTGTCCCTCCACTACCGCCCGGCCGCTGGCGGCCGAGCCGCCGATAGCTCTGGTTCAGGAGCGTTTTATATTAGAAATAGGCTGGATTGTTTAGGCATCTCTCAGGAAATCGTAACATTTTCTTCACTACATAAATAATGTTTATTTTTATTAATACATAATATATATATTTAATTATTAATGAAAATAAACATTATTTATGTAGCAAAGAAAATATTACTATTTTTTGAGAGGTGCCTCAACAACCGAGCCTATTTCTTATATAAAACGCTCCTGCGTCAGAGTTATCGGCGGCTCGACCGCCAGCGGCCGGGCGGTAGTGGGGGGACAGGAGGCGTCGTCTCTTGAATTGGCCCGAAATGTGCAACTAATTCCGAGCGCTGGTCTAATATAAAATTAATTAACTTTTTTTTCTTATTCTTTTACTAGGACAATGAAATTTTTTTAATATCAATAATAATAGTACCAAAATTAATTAAAAAGTTTTTTCAAGCAATTTTAAGTAATAAAATTTTTTTACTTTGCTAAAATTAATACATGAAAAGACGATAAAAATAATTTTTCTAAGATTAGAATCTGCAATAAGTAAATTGTAGGTGCTCGGAAACCGCAGCGGGATAAATGAGATAAAGTTTTGGTAGCGACAAGGGTAACATTTGATCCTTGCTCTCAAGCTCTCATTCGCATAATCTTAGCTTCGCTTTATCGCTTGTGACGGCCATCGCCGCACCGTGGTAATTCCCCGTTGGAATTGCCGACGAATATCGCGTGCATCCCAGAATTCCGGATGGGATCCGCGGGAGCATCGATCGTTTCCCGCGGAAACTCGCGCGCCCGTCTAACGAGGCAGCCGGCGGCGGGATTCGACGACCACCGTCGTCGCCGTCGTCGCCGTCGTCGCCGTCGCCGTCGCCGTCGCCGCCGCCGCTGCCGCCGCCGCCGCCGCCGCCGCCGCCGCCAAGACGGTGGGATCCCGCGACGTGTACGCTTCAAGAACTCTGCATTATCGGTCGGGGGTTTTCTCGCGGATACAATTTCCCGACGCAATTTTCTTTTCAGTCGGCCCCGGCGAATCCAGGCGCGCGCTCGCGCGGGGTTGGACCGTGGGTGGCAAATGGCAAAGAGAGAGAAAGAGGTACGGCCACAAGGGGGTGCGCGGAAGGGTGCAGAAGGTGGAACGGGGGGGTGGCGGAAGGGGGGCGGAGGTGCGGCGCAGCCCATATTCGTGCATTGTGGCACGTTCCATCGCGTTCTCAACTGAACTGAACTCGACTCAACAGTGGAGGACACAATGGGCGGTATGAATAAGTATAACAGACAGACACCGGTACAGACAGACACAGGTAGCTCAGGCCGCAGTATGTGAATGAGGAACCCATTTGATAACACGCCTCCACAGCCACCCAGGTCCATTGTGTCGCTTCCTATTCAGCTGCTCTATGCCCTCTTCTCCTCCTATCCCCTCTTTACCGTCTATCTCTATCTCTCTCTCCCTCTCCCTCTTTCATTCCTCCTCCCGTCCTCCGCTTTCCGCCGCCACCTCTTCTCTTCTGCCGGATTCGCCTTGCATTGCCGGTGGTGTTACCCCTCTCGCTCGCTCGGTCTTGTTCCAATATCAGCGCGGAGATCTTGTCCTATCTGTCCTGCACCTGTATTATGCACAGTGGAAAAAGACAGACACGGATTGGCTGTGTGGATCTTTCTTCTCCTTTATTTCGATCGCGTCGTCGACTGTGTAAGATCACTAGGCGGGTGAATTAGGGAAGAGATGTAGAGATACTGTGCGAGAATCGTTCCAAATCCGACGAATAACTTATAAATAACTTAATCTTTTTTTTAATATCTGTGTCTCAAAGGACAACGAGTAAAATTATTTGGTGTTTGTCAGGACAATAATTCTGCTATTTTTTTTTTTACTTTGAAAAAGGAAGAAAATTTATGGAATTACTAACATTAGATCATTACTTTGAAATTTCGGTATTATTTTATAAGAAAGAAAAAAAAATGAAATATGGATTTATGACACAAAGTAAAAATATCAATTTTTTATCTTTTTTTTTATCTTTTATTTTTATTTGCTTTTGCGATTGCACCTTTCAACGGCACCGTGTGCGCGTCTTTAGCGGCGAAAGGGTTAAACCGACCCTGTTCGCGGAACCGGCATAACTAGCGAATGGTCCTGGTCGCGTGGATGGACTAGCCATGGAAGCCGGCACAGCAGCCGCGGCTCGCGTACGTGTAGGTTATACATAGAGATAGAGATAGAGAGAGAGAGAGAGAGAGAGAGAGAGAGAGAGAGAGAGAGAGAGAGAGAGGAGGAGGAGGAGGAGGAGGAGAGGAGGAGGAGGAGG